CTTATATCTTATTCTTTCTTCTAATATAAGAGTAACAAAAAAAGCTAAAGTAGCCTATTTGGTAAAGGTTAAAACTAATGTCAAATGATTTTTTTTTTTCCTTTTTGTCTTTTTTCGTGTCCGGCAATGGGTCGCAACCCTCAGTGTCGCGCCCGTACCAGACTGGGACCGGCAACGGGATCGCAATCCTCGGTGTTGCTCCCGCACCTCGCCCAGCCAGTGAGCGGCCGGTCTGTATGTGGGATCCGAACCCTCGGCGGGAGCGCCACCGCGCTTCCCAAGCGGCGCACAGTAGCAGTGCGCCACCGGGCTGGCCCGTCAAATGATTATACTACAAGAAAAATTAATTCCCATCTCTCCCACCTTTCCCCCCAGAAAAATGGTATTTTCTACAAACTAAATAATCTTTTAGAAATCATAAAATAGCTCCAAAAGCGTATTTCATTAAATTATGGGTGCAATAAATGATCTCTTATTTAACCTGACATAAGGCACAGAATTATACTTCATTAGAAACCTCTGAAATTACTCTGATCTTGTAGAGCTTTTAAAGCTGGTGAGCACAAGACTTCCTCTCATTTAATATTTCTAGAAAACTTTTGAATGCAACGTCTGAATAATAATGAAAAGATAAACACAGTGTTTTTTTTAATAGCTTAAATGATGCTAAGAAAGAGAGAACCTTTCAACTGCACCTCTAATCATTTTCAGAATTTAGAGAAAAAGCAAATAGAGAAACTAGGATTAAGTATCAAACCAAAAACAAAAGTATGGTTGAACCAAGCCTTCTCACCTCAGTTTGTTTCAAATCAGTAATGACGAAACAGTTTACTAAATTTAGAGAGTGTTACTTGATTTTTGTTCTTGATTTTGTTTTCCACTGAAGCTTAATTTGGGCAAAAGTTACTTTGGGGAGAAAAGAGTCAAAGAGCAACTAAATAGACACTGAGGAATATACGGATATTTTGTCAGGTTTGCATTACTTTAGTTTTTTGAAAGAATGTTTCAATAAACTAAATTTGAAAGATTTAATAAAAATAGATACTCAACAAAGACAGATAATCTATAATATTAACTCATTTTCTGTTTCTTTATCCCTCGTTGCTGAGAGATAATAAAATCTGTATAATTAACTGGTTTAGTAATCTAATACAATGACAATTGGTAATCATAAAATATTAATAATCTCTCTTCCCCAACTCCCATTTCTTCCTGGATCAGAAATTTGGAACTAATAACAGGCTCCATTCATTAATACTTATTCAAATAACTGTATCTGGTCAGTTTAAAGGGGGCAAAATTAGCATATATCCAAAAATAGTTTAATAAGTTAAATTTGAGAATAAATATTTTTTTGTTATCTTAAGAAATACTAACTAAAAGCCAGTCTACAAAAGTATGCAAGTTGCCTGAAGATTTCTTTGACCTAAGACAAAAAGCGACATTTTATCTATGAATTTTGGTCAATTATCCAGATGCCTGGTTTACAGGAGACCAAAGTTTAGAATGTTAGGGAGTTTGCAAGTACTTAATACAGTTGCCTTGGCACTGCATAACCAAATGCCCGAAGATCGATTACCCTTTCAAGGTAGTTGGAACACGTATAGAGTCAAACACTCTGACAACTTCATATATCTATCATAGCCTTGATTAGCAATTTCATTAAAACACCAATAAACCAGGATCCAGACAACCTGAGTCCTCAGGAAATGGTGTGTGAAAGAAAAGGATAGATGGAGTTGGGTCACAAACACTAGTGAGAAAAGGCTTTATCTCCACAATAGGCTTTTCTTTTCCAGGAGGGAGATTTGTTGGGAGGAGCTCAAATACAAACATGAGAGGGTATATAGTTTGAAAGAAAGCCTTTCAGGTGATTCTGATATATCCATATTCCACCAACTACTTTCATGTTGGAAAAAAATTAAATGCTCTGGGCGAGAGACAGAGAGAGAGAGAGAGAGACTGAGAGAAAGAGAGAGAGAGAGAGAGAGAGAGAGAGAGAGGGAGAGAGAGAGAAAGAGATTTATATGTCACTTCAAGTTTATATATGCTGGTTTTGGGTTTAATCCAGGCAACTACAGTAAAACTCATCCAGAGAAGCACTCTAAGTTAACTTCCCATTATACTTATGTATCATTTCCCACAAATTTCTCAAGTGTTTTGCTTTTAAACTACAAAAATCTAATACTGGGGGAAAATGCCTCAGCCTAAGTTTATTCTACCCACTGAGAAATCTAGAGGCAATCTGAGTTCTGTGTATTTATTTTTATTATGACAACCGCTATTTCTTAAGTAACTAATTAAGCTTCATTTTTAAAATACCACCATTACCTAGATTGACTTCTGGAGATTTCAAGTACTGGCACAATAATATACTTTGATGTCTGCAAATATTTCTCCAGCAATGAATCAGCAAGCCATGAGTACTGAACAAAAGTGAAAACAGGGCCGGCCCATGGCTCACTCGGGAGAGTGTGGTACGGATAACACCAAGGCCAAGGGTTCGTATCCCGTATAGGGATGGCCGGTTGGCTCACTGGGTGAGCGTGGTGCTGACAACACTAAGTCAAGGGTTAAGATCCCCTTACCGGTTATCTTTATAAAATAAAATTTTTTTTAAAAAGTGAAAATACATAAGAACCAAAACTTCAATGGCTGCTCTAAGTGCCAAGATTGGTCAGTTTGGTGATAAAAGAGAGGCACCTGACCAACAGGCAATCCCTAAAAGCTAAGTCTCTGCACCAGAACACTCTGGAAGAGAAGAGAAACCATCTAGAAGGGAAACACACAAGAAAAGAAAATTATAAAATGAAGCAGAGAAAGGACGCAAAAGAGAGGCCAGCAGATAGAAACAGCCCCCACTGAGAGCCGGAGAAATGCCAAGGGTAATAGAGAGTGGCACTGCCATCTGGGAAGGCCAGAAGCCAGTTAAATCTCACTGGCCCCTGCCCCTCCCTGCTAATGGGGTATTAATCAGCCATTGGACAGATCACTGCCCAGTGGCAGACAGGAGAGGAAAAATGTTGAGAATTTGGTTCTGATGAGTGCAGTTTGTTGGAATAAGTAAGCAGAGGAGTCCAAATTGATCACTGAGGTATGACAGCAGGCTGAGCTACAGAAGATGGCCAGCAGCAGAAGATGGCCATCTACTTCACACAAACTGGCCCTTGATATGAAAAAGCTCAGGAAATGCAGTGATGTTGAAAGTCATGAATAAATAAAAGTAAAAAATGGCCAGCAGCAGAAGATGGCCATCTACTTCACACAAACTGGCCATTGATATGAAAAAGCTCAGGAAATGCAGTGATGTTGAAAGTCATGAATAAATAAAAGTAAAAGCAATTAATCAAATATACTTGATTGAGAGGTTGGAATTTTAAAATGAGTTTCTTCTATATTTACTCTGGGACACAGCCTATTTCTAAATACAACTGATGAAAAACAATGGTAACTCGAACTTGATGACACAGGTCTATGCCAAAGCATGCACCACAGTGTACTCATGGAAGAACTTTTCCATTAAAAAACAACAGTCTGAAGCAAAATTAAAACTAGATGAGTTCATCTTCTGTATGATAATGCTATTTTCTACCCATGAAACGAAACCTTTGGTGATAGCTGAAAATGTAATTTTACAGTTCTCAGGGGTGTTAAACAATGGCTTAAACAAGAATACAAATAAATGGTCAAAAACTGTTGCTGACTTAGAGGTTTTGGGAAACGGAAGAAGTGATTATTTCAGAACTACAGGCTTTTCTATAATAGCAAAGTGACTGTAGTAACTGTAGAAGTCATACTGAGGAATACAAAGTTTGTGTCTAATATTATTTTTCCTTGATTCAACCTATGAATCATGGGTTATTCTGAAAACATATATTTCCTAAGAAGTTGCATGAGAAAGTTTATCCATACCTGAAATTCTAACAAAAGGCAAACTAATGAAATCTGAAGTTAAAGCAAAAATAAAATTCAGACTCTGAAATCAGAAAATTGAGCTTCACTATCTAAGAAATTCCCTTAATGTAGTACCCTTTGCTTCCCCACAATACCTAAAAAGGAAACAGTGCCTGTCCATATAGTTTATCATTAATTTGTGAAATGTTGTATTTTCTACCTATATGAAGATTAAGAAAAATATGATATTTTTCCTTTTCTAATTTTTTCAGCTTAGCGAAACAGCAAAGATAAATTTAAAGTGGCATTTTTATGAGGTCCTTTTCTAAGACAGTTGATAACATGGTAAATGGCTTGGTTACTAGGATTAAATTTGTGGTTAGAAAAGTACTCCAATTTAAAAACACTGAATTCAAAATAAACCAACACAACTGTGCAAGTATGAGAGTGTTTGAGAGCCATGTCTCCACCCAGATCCCATAAAATAATCAGTTCCACTGGCCACAGTTAAGTTCCTAAAAAGATCAAAAGCTTAGTTGCTATCGCTTTGGTTAATAAAGAGCTCAATACTGTTTATAAGGAATAAATAATTGACTGATTTTATAGTATACCCAGGTAAAGGGATGAAAACAAACAGAACTAGTTTAGAACACTGTTCCTTTAAAAGTTACATACCAGTGATACATGCTATTGCAATGCATTCTATATTTAAGGAGGCAGGCCATGTATGTGTGTGTGTGTGTGCGTCTCACAGCTAATCAGTGGTCCACTAACTGAAAGCCATATATAATTCCCATTACATAAAATCAGACAAAAACACTATACTGTTTTCAGGTTTTAGAAATAAAGTTTCTAGTTAATGAGTTCATGAATAATACAAATATTGTAATAGGAACAAGAAGATATAAGGAAGAAAAGAACATGTATGTATATGTAGGGAGGAAAATGTTTTACCATTTTTTTATCATCAAAGGGTAATATTATATCTTAAATCATACTACAAATATGATGTCCCGTTTAGAAAGATGATATCATCTCCAAAAACCAATTGCTAGTTTATTAAAAAGGACACAAGAATTCACAACTGTGTTTCTCGGTTTTCTTACCCTGTATGTTGTACAGTCGGACTCTATGGGTAATATGTTCTAAAAAGCAAGTCACTTCTGAATAAATCCTTCCATGTACCACTCTGAAAAATGGCAGTGTTCTGTAAACATAAGGCTGGGGAGGAAATGACATTTTTAGGAAAAATGTTTTGGCTTCTAAACTTTTCCAAGAAATGCTTATTATAGTTTCCAAAACGGCAAATATATATCACCCGATATTTGCAATTTTATATGAAAATCAAACCTTACAAAGTATCAGAATATGCATGTATTATAAAAATTGAACATAAGACTTTTTATTATTAAAAAAACAATTGCTGAAAATAGAAGATAAAAATATTTACAATTTGATTGGGCTAAATGATCTACAAGCATTATTCCCAGCTATGAAAATTTCTAACTAAAATCCTTCTATATTGTCCATATAGTTATTTATTAGAAATAGCGATCGTTCTAAAGCAGTGATATCGGGGCTGGCCTGGTGGCGCACTGCTACAGTGCGCCGCTTGGGAGCGCAGTGGCGCTCCCGCCAAATAATAATAAATAAATAAATAAATAAATAAATAAATAAATAAATAAATAGTAAATAAATAAATAAATAAAGCAGTGATATCTACCCAGGCAAACATTTATTATAACAATGGCCCCCTTAAATAAATAAATAAATAAACAAACAAACAAATAAATAAATAAAGCAGTGATATCTACCCAGGCAAACATTTATTATAACAATGGCCCCCTAATGTTCAGGGTCTGGGCAGGAGGCAAGGATGACTACAGGGAGTCATCTAAGCCAACAGGAAATAAGGTTCAGATACAGTTTAACCACAATAAGGTTTACTAAGCTATAAAACATTCTGCCTTTTTACTTGAAAGAACTAGCTGAATATAAAGCAAATTTACAAAGTTGAAAAAAACTACTTAGAAAACACTGGTTCAGTTTTCTTTATTTAGAATCTAAATTCCAAAAAAAAAAAAAAAAAACCAAAACAGAAAATACATAATAAAGCACATAACTTATGTGACACAGGAACAAATTTAAAGCACTTATTAAGAATTATATTTTAAGTATTATATACCTTGGCTCAACAACAGCATGCAAAGCTAGGTTTGCAATATGAACTATTTAAGCTGTTTAAGATTTTCAGAAAAATTGTGTAATTCTCTTCCAAATCTACCTCTTTGGCTAGAGAAAAGTATTCTGAAATTAATAAAATGCTTAACACTTTATGCAGTTCTTATACCTAATTACCGCATAGCTAGGAAGTGAGGGAGGGATGAGAACCTGGGACAGTGATTTCTATGCTCCTGCCTTTTTCTGATACTCTCAGCTGACTCTTTCCCTGATGTTCTTTCATTTTCTCTTTGTAAGTATATGGCAATTCTCTTTATCTTTGTATTTGACATTAGAGCTCTTTAAAGATAGTTTTAAATAAATTAGTTACTATTATCCATTCATAATATTCCACGCTACAGTAGTAAGCACAGCTACCTTTTTTAAAAGTGTTAAGAACAGTCAATCAAAATAAAAAGTCTATCCAATGACAAAAGCTGGTAAGTGAGTAAACACTGACACAACTTAACGTTTAGGATCCCCTGCCCATTCTGGAATGCTTACTATGAGCTGTAGTTTACCTTTAATTCCTCACTGATTTTAAAAAACAAAAACAAAAACAAAAAATACAACAACCAAAAACAACTAGAGTCCTCAGCATGGCCTACACGATCCCTTAAAATCTAATATTTGATTTAGGTTAGTAGGTTTCCCTAAATTGTACAACAAAAGTAACTTTCTCAGGAGATGGGTCTCTAGGCAACAAAACAATGAGAAGAATATTAAACTGATCTTGAGGTGGAGAAAACTTATAAAGGTATAAAGGCAAAAGAAAAAACTCTAAAGAAAAAAATATACAGAATTGTCTTTACAAAAATTAAAAATTACTATAAAGGAAAAATAAAATATCTAATAAATTTAAGTGATACGTTGAGGGATAATTTTGCAACATACTGAGAAAAGGATTAATTTTATCACTCATAAAGAGTACTTAGAGATCAATAGGACACATAAATAGAAAAACAGCCAAAGAATTTAAGTAGGAAACTCACGAAAGAAATATGAAAGATAAAGGAATGTATATAAAAAAGTTTAACTTCATTAGTAATCACAAAAATCTTAACAGGAAAATCTTTTTCTGTTAACCTATTATTATAGGCAAAACTTTTAACGTGGTGATGGAGTTTGGACATATTGTCCTCCCAGAACTCATGTGGAAATCTGATCCCCAGTGTGACAGTTTGAATCACCGGGGCAGATCTCTCATGAATGGATTAGTGCTCTCCCTAGGTGGGGGGAGTACTGAGTGAGTTCTCGTTCTAATAGTTCCCACGAGAGCTGGTTGCTTAAAAAATCCTGGCACCTTCTCTCTCTTGCTTCCTCTCACCATGTGATCTGCTTGTACCTGCCAGCTGCCTACCACTTTCTGCCGTGAGTAGAGGCAGCCTGAGCCATGAGTAGAAGCAGCCTGAGGTCTGTGCCAGATGCAGCCGTCGCAGAATCGTAAGCCAAATAAACCTATGTTCTTAATAAATTACCCAGTCTCAGTTAGTTCTGTTATAGCAACACAAAACAGACTAACACACATGGCTAATTCTCAGTAAATGGAGTGATCGTATTAGAGATTTACTCTCAGAAAACGCTGGCAGGGTGGTACTGGTAACACCAAGGTCAAGGGTTCAGATTCTTATACTGTCAGCCACCAAAACAAAAAAAACCACACTGGTGGGAGTGAATATTTATACAGGTTTTCTAGAGGGAAGATAAGGAATATGTACCAAAATGCCTCAAAGGCTTTGTAGAATAATACAAAATGACTCTTCTAGAAAGTTATATTCAGGATAATCAAAATTGCATAAAAACAATACTACAGAGAAAGCTTACCATAATGTTGTAATAGTGAAGAATTAAAAGAAAAAGCACATGTGCAACATTAGGAAATTCTTAAACACTTTAAGTGTATCTTAAAATTGTGTTTTTAAAAAACCATGCCATCAGATTGTGAGCACTGTTACAAATGAAAAATAAAATATGTATGTGCAGTAAGACAAAACTTGAAAATGGAAGAAATGGAAAATGCATAAAATAAAAAAATAATGAAAATATATCAAAATGCTGGCAGTGGTTTTCACAGGGTTGTACACTAGTTGGTAAATTTTATTGTCTTTTCCAGTTTTCTGCGTTTTAAAAATGTGTCAGAGTTTGCATGTAAGTATTACCTTTATAATCAATGGTGGGAAAAAAATATATATATATTTTTTGTCTTTTTGTCTTTTTCTGTGTCCGGCAACGGATCGCAACCCTCAGTGTTGCCCCCGTACTGGACCGGGGACCGGCAACGGGATTGCAACCCTCGGTGCTGCTCCCGCGCCTCGCTCAGCCAGTGAGCGGGAACCGGTCTGTATGTGGGATCCGAACCCTCGGGTGGGAGCGCCGCCGCGCTTCCCAAGCGGCACACTATCCAGTGCGCCACCGGGCCGGCCTGGAAAAAAATATTTTTTAAAGTGCTAAAAAGTTAAGGAGAAAAATGGTCTAGTGAGCAATCTATTTTTCCCATACGGTTATGAATTATGTGTCTGTACATACACCACACTGCATACACATAAAACACCATAACGACACCCTAACTCTAAGTCCAATCTAGCTTCTTTCCATGAGGAGCATTTGTTCATTGTAGCCTCTGCACTGAATTTTAATTCTGAAAAACTAGGAGGGGTCTTCAAAAAGTTCACAGAAAGATTAATATTACCCTTTTCATTCTGGATTTCCATGAACTTTTTTAAGTGCCCTCGTACTGGTTTATCTAACTTTCATCTACAAATTGCTAAGCAAAAGCTCATCTAACCCTAATAAATAAGCAGATGATAAAATAATGAGACATACTTATTTTTTTCCTCAATCTCTTTCAGTAAGTATTTATTCCAATTGTCTCTCACTGGCACTACTTACCTTGGCATTACCATCAGGTAAGAAGAGGTAGGCTCCACTTTTGTCTCTTTTACTCGAGGTTCCATACCATGAAAACTGCACATTTATTGTATGGTGTTTACCGTTTTCTTTAGTTATCATTTTCTAAAAACAAAAAAGAAAACTGTCTAAGCAACTCACTATTAAGATGTTAATCATATTACATCTGGTTCCACGTATAATTTACTTCAGGATAGATTGAAAAATACTAATTTAAGCCTCTAATATTCACGATTCTTGGTTGAACACTCAAAATTTTATACTTAGCCTTAGGATTTAAAACCTTCACAATAGGAATAAAAAGTTAGAATACATTTCATAAAGGAACAAAGAGATATACAAATTGAGACGTTCTAAAGCAGTGCTTCTCAAACTTTCTGTAGGAGGTTTATTTTTATTTTCGACACATATGGACCAATATTTTTGTAAAATACAGTAGAAGTGAATTAAAAACTAAAATTAAATTTAAAGTGGTATACCAAATATATACCCATTTTTAAAAATTAGATTCAATAGGTATTCCACTGTGAAATTGCTTTCAAAGTTTCCATAAACATTTCTAAACATTCATAATTTCTTATAATTATTTTGTGGATCAGTAATAACAGTCCACAGAGCAGCAGCACCCACAGACCATATTTGTCAGCAGCAAGTGGTCATTCAAGGTATAGCTGCTCATCCATCCTTTCACCCAGAGTTTTTAATACAGCCCTACTTAAGAAGACCTTTTTCTTTTTTGCATAACTAATCTGCACATGTTGTAGTAAAAGTGGAAAGTTTTCTAGTTTTCAGAACTATTCAGAACATACCTCCATAAGCCCAGATTGACCAAACCAAAGTGCAATAAAGGAGTTCTCTACAGTTATAGTTTCTCCAGTACTTATCATTTTCTTCATGTTGAAAATTCCTTTTCCTTTATCTTCTGTTTCATCATTATACAAGACATAATCAGCTAAATGTGAATGTGAACTTGCTGAGTCCAAAATCTTATACACTTTCAGTCCCAATGGCGGTATATGTGCTAGAAAAGATACCTTTAAAAGATAGGGGAGGGAATTTATTAAAGAGATATGTTACCTACTGGAAGGCAAACCACTTATTTTGGTAAAAACAATAAAGTACCATATTTTTTAAAAAGAGGATATAATACTTCTATAAATGTTTTGATAATTTATGGGTATAACATTGTAGTCGACTGAATAATGCCCCCCCAAAACTCACTGAAGCTTGGATTGTGTCCCCCAAGTTTTATGTATTAGAACTTGGCCACCACTGTGACTGTTAAGAGGGTAGGAAATCCTATTATGGTAATTGAAAGCTGGAGCCTTGAAGAGGTGATTAGATTGTAGGATCATGCCATGATGAATGGATTAAAAATGGCTGTCAGGGGCATGGTTCTGAAGGCTTCAAAAGAGGAGAGAGGAGAAACTGTCTCTCTCTCTGCTCCACCATTTCACAATGTGACACCCTGCATCACTGACGCCATCAAGACCCTGGACTTTAGACTTCCTAGCCTCTGAAACTGTAAGCAGTTAAGTTTTGTTTTCTTATAAATATCCAATTCCGTGTATTTTGTTATAAGCAACAGAAATGGACTAAAAGAAACACCCACATCTCAGTTTACCAGGAAAACTAATAACCTGAAGTTGGTAGGTCTATCAAAGGCATTAATGTTTGCAAACAATATGTGCAATTATATGATCATCCTCAATCATTCTACCATGCTCTTCTTAATAGATACCCAGAGGAGGAAATTCTCCAAGAAGGCAAGGGCTTATTGTAAACAACGATTTTTCCTAATTATTGGAAATTTCTTTACAATATTGTGATATTTCAATATATTTTTAAAATGGTAAACATAATAATACAAATATTAAACATACTAGTTCAGTCAACACCAGCCATCAAATGTTCAAGATTTAGCAGACCCTGAACAAGGCATAAAAGATGCACACAGTATAAGATATGACCCCTGCCTTCCAGGAGCTATGGTTCCATTTTCTAGATGGGATGCTTCCTGTAAAATCTGACCAAAACTTTTATTATACTTTTCCTTTCTATCCAAAGGATTATGCATATATTAGACTAGCCAGCAATGACTTTTGACAAGCAGAAGCAAGTCTTTTAGAGTTCCTGCTTTATGGCTACATCTCCAGAAATACAGTTTACATTGCACTCCAGACTCTAAAAGTCTAACCTCTATAGTGGTATGGAACTCAGTTTAATATTGCTTATTTTAAGAAACTTTCACACACAAAAAATCTATTGAATGAGCCCAAGTTTTCCATAATTATATCTCAGAAAAGAAACATCTTAATTACTTTAGGAAGTTTCCCTTCCATGATGTAAGTCACCTTTGCAATTAAAAGTTGAAATTATCCAAAATTATTAAGGTACTTATCTCAAATTCAACATGCATAATTGTCATTAGATTGAGTTAAACAAAAAACTTCAAAATTTTATGAGTAATAATTACTTCATTACTTCAGAATAAAGTTAACAATATACATCCTTACAAAGACATATAATACACGTACTAACAACATGTACTAATAATAACATACTATACATACTAGCAAAGATGTTAACATTTTGGGAACATAAAATCTATTTTCCTTTAGTGTCATTTAACTGGCCAGTTAAAAACTCTCCATTATTTACAACTTTCACCACTTCACATACACCAACCTGACAGCTCAATAGGGCCATCACAGGACCATTATATATATATAAACTATACACTGGCTATGTTTTTTTTATGATGCCTCTTTAAGTTCTGTAGCCACAACATACCTCAAAGGCTGTTTGTGAAATAGTACTTGCTGCATCCCAAACTGCACTGACTTGAACTTCGACAGGTTTTCCTGAAGCAGAGAGTACTTGCACCGTGGGGGAACTCACGTAGACTGAGACGACTGAGTTTCGGTCTTGTTCTAAAGGATTATAGACCACAAGGTACCTGCAAAAACAACTGCTTCACTATTGGGATCTCAAAATATTTTTACTTCTTCCACACTCTTTGTAAGACCTCAGTTCATAGTCATACAGCCAACACATGGAGAAGACTTAAAAGGAACATTCTGGTAGAATTCTCAGAGAACAGTCATCTTTATCATAACAAATACCACACAGTACAAAGGGTAATGAAATAATGATTCAAAAGCACTTTCTAAAGAATAAAATGTTTTGCAAATGGAAGACATTAATAAACTTGTCATAATGCTTTTTCCACATCCCAGAAAGTGACATAAAAATATGCTTTTATTCATCTTTCTAAAAGAATTGGTCTATATAACTAATACCCTATACCAGCCTAATCTCGCTGATTTAAAAAATTCGTAATTTGTCTGTTTGCAACTTAGCCACAATTAATTCCAATTAAAAATCTGATCTCACATTCATTTTAAACCACTAAAACACAGAAATTCAGTCATATATGAAGAATCACATAAGACACATATTTTATACATAGGGACCCTTAAGTACTCAAGAAAGTCAATTCTGGGAAAAAAGGTCAGTTGAAGCAAATCTACTTATAATAGAAGCAAAAATTTTATAATAAGTAACAGTTAAAGAAAAGATCTGATCGGCACTTAGGTAGAAAAAGGAAAGTAAAAACTACAGAAATGAGATTTGGTGATATTTGCAACTATGTGCAACTCTTAGTATGAACAAAAAATGAATAAACTGAATTTTTGGTAGAATTTTTCCAATATTTTTACCAGCACATTATGACATCCATCATGTAACATTTAATTTTTACAGGATAGTTTTAACGTCCTCTCTCAATCCTCTGATATTCAAATAATTCTCAGTTGAAGCATCCAACATCCTTGATTTCTTATCAGCAAACCTGCCAGACCTGCATAGTTCCATGGCTTTGCCTGTCAATAGAAATGTTCTAGACTATCACGTCACAGACGTTGAAATCCACATCCTTTGCAAGATTCATGGTTTTACTTTATAATGAATTTGCATCATATTATCTTCAAATAAATCAAAGGGTATTTTAAATAGGATGGTTGACTAATAATAAAACTAGCTGATTCACTAGTTAATATTTTCATAATCTAAAAATTTTTTTCCTATACAATTTTGTAACTGCAGGAACATAGAACGAAATAGTGAGATAACAACTGCCTCTCACCCAACATATAGCAGCTACAGATGGTAGAAGCAAGCTACAATCCGTCTAACATAATGCATCAGAAAGCCTATCAGGGTTCTTTCACCTTGCATACGTGTCCTATATATTTATATATTTTTGCTTTCATTTGCATTTTAAACCATTCATTAAGAAATAAAATGAATACCTTCAGTGACCAAAACTAAAGTGAAGGACGACAGGAGAGAACAAAAGAAAAGAAAGTATATACCACAAAATCTGTAAAACATGTGACATGAATTGTTAACAGCAGAAGCATTTATGGTTTAAACAATATTCTGAGATGTGAAAGGTGACAATATAATAAGAATGTCTCTAATCCCTGTTAGGCTTACAGTATGTATCAGGATAACAAGACTTAATTTGCATCATTTATGTTCATTGAGATTCCATATTCATACTAGAGAAAAACAGTTGAAGCCCGGTAGTCATAAACTTGCAAAGAGTACTGAAACCTCCTAGTAGTAGATAAAACCCCTGTTATCCACATAAAAAATTCTCACGGAGAGTCCCAGTGATGCCCCCTTGAGAGGTGTGCTAAACAGACTTACCTGTGGAATTTCTCAACCTATTTGCACCTTCCCCTGTCCCCCCAACCACAGCTTACATTTCACCTGACTGTTCTCTTATTACAAACACACCTGGAGAATCACAACTGCCAGGATTTATTATTATCAACAGGACTATGTTATACTCCTATGGTGCACCAGGAAAGAAAAATGGTTAAAGGTCACATTCTCTGCACCAGAACCACAGAAAAGAGTGATTTACTACTAAAACCCATATTCCTAGAGGCTTACACAGCTAGTATGTGAAGAACTCTAGAAAACCATGGCCTGAAGACTCAAGCCAGTCTCCTAACTCTGTAGAAGCCCTGAGGCACACCCAGGCGACTGTAGCAGCTGAGCCGAGAATGTTCTTTGGATGCTCCAGACACAGAGCTGGTCATGAGGGCTGTGATAATAAAATGTCACGTGTACCCAAGCAATAAATTAGGTAATAAGGATCCAGAACACTGATTTCTTCCCATAGAAAAAAATAACTCACACTTAAAGCAAATAATAATTTCAACCATACATTTGGTTTTATACCACATTAAATCACTTTTTATAATAAGCTGTGAACTAGGGTCTGTTTTGCTTCATTTTAGTAGCTAATTAGTATTTGACCATAATAATGTTTCTACTGTACTGAGTGATTATGTAATTATCATGCCAGGAATCTATTCAAAAGCTAAATGTGTAGAGTATATAAATGAGTATAATGCACTAAGAAAATAATTTTTAACATAATTAGAGATTCACAGAATGTTCTTCAAGTGCATCACAGTACAAATTTACCTGACAGACATACAAACTCCTATCTATGTACATTTTAAGTAGAGTACAGAGAAAGCATGGCCATATATAAATTATATTACCCTTAGAAATAAGTACACCATCACAAATTAGGTAAATTTTCATTGTCATTCTCACATTTGTAGTCAAATACTTATTATATTGTCAGTATTCCCAAACATGAGTCCTTTTAAGCTCTTGAGTTCTGAATAAACAGGTTTCAATATCATATCACACTCACTTACTAAAAATTAACATTATTGGATTCATCCTAAAAATGGGAAGGGTTAATTTGTATTTTACCTTGGAAGTAACTGTATAGGAAGCTCAGAGCTTTCTTTTCTTCTCCAGTTTCTCCCACATTAGCATTAGCTTCTTACCTATCATCTGTCACCAAGTCACGTCCAGCCTCCCAGCTCATTATGACACTAGGCCCCCACAACTTGGGGTTATGGGCAATTATCTAAATTATATATGAGAAACAACTCTCACCTCACGAAGAAAGAGCACTCATATGCTACCTGCCAATCACATTATAGGGCAGAGATGATCTACTTTGGCAGGGAGAAAAAGGACTGGAGAAAAATGAAAGAATATCTGCATGCTCACGTCAGACTGGGAAACACTTTATGCAAGATGTGGCATTATTCTGTAAACACGGTTCTGTCCTTGAAGACTGAACTGAGGATGAGAATATTCAGAACTCCTTCACCCCTTCCAAAGAAATAATTCACATCACGTTAAGAAAGACAACTACAGCAAACCCCAGTCCCCTCTATGAGACAAATCTAATCAGTAACCATTCAAATATGAACTATACACTAGGACAGACAGGCTTCCTCCTAGGACTGAAGAAACAAGCCCTGTGGTCAGAGAAACCTTAGAATTAACATTTGGAATGCTTCCTGTATTCCTGGGCCAGTCCTCAGGCCTGTATGGGCAACCTACAAAGCACAGCTTTCATTCTTCCCACCAGACAGATAAGGAAACTGAGGTTCAGCAAGGTTAGGTATGTTGCCAAGACTCACCCAGCAAAAAAGTGCCACAACAAAGCCTAAAACTCAGCCTTACCACCAGAGCCATCTTCTTAACCACTTCACTCACAGGCCAAGCATATAAGAATCTTTTTGGCAAAAGGAGTTTCCTGTGAGATTCCCTTACTTCCAAATTCACATGTGAAGAACTTTCTCCTCATCAGTGCTAAAGAAAATCTACTTATAATAGAAGTTCCTGCATGTAATCAGTGGTCCGCACAGCCCCTCTCCTCAACAAGATAAGGATAAACATAAAACTATTTACATTATATGTATACTATATTTGTGAAAGAAAACTTATAAACTAGAGCACTGAAACAAAAAAATCTTGCAATATCTATTAAGGAGTTCATCTTCTGACTTCATTGCATGAAGTAAGCAAAAATAATATTTGAGGAAACACTTAAAAATACTACATATTTTATAACTATGTAAGAAAGATAAAACTGAAAAATATTTTCAAGTTCTTTGTAAGTGCAGTTTAAAACCTGTTAAGCAAACGCCAGAAGATTACATGAAAAATAAGTGTAACTTCATGTGTCAATCACAGTACCTGGTACAGAATAATGTTCAATAAATAGTTGATAAATGACTAGTGCAGAAAAATCCCACTAAGAGAATTTATTATTTACAAATAATCCCTACTTGTGTGGGGCTTTATAGTTTTATCACAGCATTTTCATTATGATTATTTCAATTCCTCAAAAAATGCAAGATAGGTAATTAACCCCTTTGTAAAGAGGGGGCAAGTTGTAGATCCAAGATCACAGAGAAAGCTTAGAACAAAGCAAAGACTAGAGATGGTTTTGCCTGATTCTTAATCAATAATAGCATATTAAAAACTGCATTTCAAACAAGGATATATTCATTTTTTCTAAGTAACCTCATTAGTGGAAAATAATCTAAAGAAGAGTAGTAAGCTTCATGCAATATTCTGAATGTGAAAATACATGGATTTATATGTTAATAAAAATTGCAATTGCTAGATTTGAAGTCCTTTTGATATATTCCACCTCATTTTCTAGGTTTAAAATATAATGCTTACCATATTATCATTTAAC